TTTTTTATTATTTTAACGAACTTTACTAATAGTTCTTTGACTTTTCTCTTTTAGACGCCTGGTCTTTGGACACTTTGGGATTCGGTGGGTGGGTTTTCCTTATTTTTTTTTTTTTTTTTTACAATAATGAAACGTTTATTAACGTTTCAAAATTTCTTTTTTCATAGACGGGTCTGGACATGTGAAATTGACCTTTCTTTTTTGGTAAATCTTTTGGTGCATGGAATTTCAATGGGATCCGATTAGATATACCATAATAGATTTGTATAGTTTTAGTATAGAATTTAGTATAGATTTAGCATAGATTTCAAATGTATTTTATTGATATGATAATAAAACTGAACCACATTTAACAATAAAGTAATTTAACGTTATCTAACAATAAATAATATAAAGTTATTTAATACAATAAATAATCTAACGTTATTTTACCATAAGATAATAATCATTAGTGATGATAGTTGTTGATTTAATCACATCGTTAATAATCGACGAGTGCGATTATTATCGATATATATCACATTTTATAAATAAATGGGATATATATCGATAAAGTGATATATATCGCTATATATCACCTGTAAAAATTTCCCGATGTAAATAAAAAAATATAAAAAATATAATACTAGAAGTAGATAAATTCTGATTGCATGTAGATACATGTTAAACACGAAAGTTATCAAGAATTTATTGTTGAGATCGAGCTTGTGAGTTTTGTGAATTATTTGTCAAAGAGGAACAAGAACAAAATTGCATAAGTACCGAATTATTTATTGCATTATTGGAAAAAACAATGTTCTGATAACATATAGAATTGCCTTGAAAGACAGTATTCGGCTGAAATTTTGGAGAAGAAACGTTATCGGACGTGGATTTCTGATAATTATTGGAAGTGGATTCTTGATTATTATTATATTGCTGGTGGTTATGATGATTCTGATCAGGAGAGATATTGGGTATAGGTTGCTGATAATAGTGATCAGAAGGCATATCGGAAGTTGTAACGTTATATGTGACTGGAGTATTCGTATCGTTCATTGTGGTCTCTTAAGTAATCCCAAAGAAGATGTGTAAATTTTTTTAAAAAATTTCCATCGCACTTATACAAGTTTAAATATATAATAAATGTCACGTGTAGAAATTCATCATATTATAATGAAGTTAGAGGTTATATGAATTTTGGCTATTGTACAAATCAACAAATTACTATTATTAGTCATGAGAATTCCACGTGCAGTTGAAATTTAACTTTGTTTCATCATTTATGAATCGAGGACAAAGAAAAAACAAAAGGCTAATAAATGATTAAATTTGACAATTGTATGAATTTTAACCAAAATTCATAAAAATTCGGAACCGATTTGGTCAATAGGGATGTCAAAAGTCGGTTGTACCCGCTGCCGGTTTTTACCGTGGCCAATTAACCCGTTAGCTTTAAATTTATACGCAGATACATACATATTATTATATTATGTTACATGTATTAAAAGGTTAAAATTAGTATTTTAAACCCTTTTTAGTCTTATAAGTAAAGTTGTGGAACAGGCAAAAATACGCATAGCGCATGCACTTTAAAAGTTCTATAATAAGCACATAAGGTTTGCACCGCGTTTTATTCAAAAAAGCGAAATTTATGATATAACGTGATCACTATATAATAATTCCCAAAAAAGGAGGTGCATTGCAACGCCCACTGTAAAAGGCGCCCCGCCGTAAAAGACAACAGAACAAAGTGAAAGAAATACAAAAATTTGGCGCACGCGAATGGCACGTCCTATGTGTAAGTATTCTCAAATCGGCAAAACGTTTTTACAACATTGGGTTATTATTGTAAAAATTGATTTATTCAATAAAATTATAATTATTACTTTCTAGCATTAATCGTTGGTATCCCTATATATGACCTAAGTGACTTATCATGAATTAAGGTTATTGTGACGTGATTTTATTAACACAAATAAAATATTTACACGTACCGCAGTAATGAAATTTAATACTTTGGATACATGACCCGAAATTTGCAGGAAGCTGTAGTAGGATATCTCAAATTAGATCTGGAGCATGGTTAACTTTGACGTTATTTCATTAAAAGACTGTTAACGGCCATTAAATAATTTTTCTAATGTTCTTTCTGTTAACTTTGGTGAATTACTGGCCTTCGGAGCAGCTTTATGTATTCATATACCCTATAAAAATTTTTATCCGAATATTTCCATTATTTCTCCGTGTCTTCCGTAAAATTCCGTGAAAATGATACATTTACGGAAAAACATGGGAAGATAAAACACGGATCAGATTTTTTAGATGGATAATTCTCTATCGTATCATAAATAATTATTTTAGAATATTCAAAATTTTTACAATATTTCGCACACTTATGTAATTTTTAAATTTTCAGACCGTGGGAAAAAATGTGTGCAATTAATCCGAAGATCTTGTAATAACGATTTGTTTGTGTTCGTATAGGCTACAATAATGATAATGGATAATTAATCTAAATAACAAATAATGAAAAACAAAATCGATATAAGAATATAAATCAAATATTAAACAATTTAAACAATTATACAATTATTAAACTACCTAACGTGTTTATTTTAATATTGTATTTATATTAAAGAAACCCCTTGTTTATTGTGTTACTATGATGTAAATATCTCATTTTGCAAATCTTTACCGAATCTTCTCGAATCCTCTATAATCTTATAGTTATTTTAAATAAATGTTATAAATTTCTTTGTTTAAAGTTTAAAATTATCAAAGAATATTGGTCCAACCTGCTACAAGCGGACATTCCATGTAAAAAAATTTTATCTGTAGTTTCTGTAATAACTTCGTAAATATGATTTATATATTTACGGAAAGATAACTAAAAAATCTAAGTAACTTGGATAATTTTCATGTTTTGAGGCTATAAATTCCGTGACTATGCTAAATTTACGGAAATAACATGAAATAAAAAAACACGAGATTATTATGCAGTATATCAAATGCAATTGTAAATAATTTATCGTAATTTATCGTAACAGGTAACTTTATCTTCTGAGAGGCGTAAGCTCATATTTGGTTAGTAAACGTTCTTTATTGACAAAACCTTGAATGTTACCTTATTTTTGTAATTATTCCATCGAACGAGTGAAAGAAATAAACAAATACTGTAAGCAAAATATTTTGGTCTTTCTTCACGTGATCTGCACGTTGTAAATCCCGATGTTTAACGAAATTGCGACTCACAAAACGATATTTTCTTTCAACTGAAGGTCATGAATATTCCAACTTAGTCTAGATAGATCTTTTAACGTGGTCATATGGTTTTATCTCATCTTAAAATAATCTTTTTGGCTAGATCTCGGGCAATCGGAATTTTACGTAGATCATACGAGACGCCTCTTACCCAAATGCGAATATACGGTATGGTTGATATGTTTATATATTATTTTCAATTTGAAAAGGTGAATTTTTTTTTACTTTACGAGTAAAATAAACAAAACACAATTTATATTGTGTGATCAACCTTATGTGATGACTGTGATGACTAGACTAAAAAATATCTATGATCAAAAAGCGATCTAGTATTTACAATAAAAATTCACACGCACATAAATACAATTTGTCATAATAAATATATACAACTATTAAACAACATGATGATTAAACGCAGTTAAATTTTTTATGCATCATATCAGTAAAAACAATATATGTCATAATTTTGTTGTCCAAAAATAATAATGATTGTAAACACCATTTCAATGTGTTCAACAAACTTGTGTCTCATACACTATCACAAAATTGCAATTCAAGCAGGAAAAAGTTTTTAAGGTTCATTATGCTGACAATGCTTTTAGATAACTATTCTTTCAAATAATACAAATAAAATGGATGGCTAAACAACTTTAAGGCTTTTCATTTTTTTCTTTTCATTTATAGTAACGATATTATGGTAAAAAGGTTTATGGTAATTTGCATCAATTAAACTAAAAGATTTTTTTTTTTATTAAAAATCCGAATATATACCTCCAAATATAGTAATTTTTAAGAATCAAAAATTAATATAAAATTCTACCGAATATAAAAAGTAAGGGCGTCGAGATATACTGTATGTGTTAAATTTGAAATCCTAATTCCTAAATAAAATAATAATGTACTATATCTGACTTTAAATTGCGAATATTTATTTACTTTATTTATGTTTCGCAAAAATTTTAAAAATTCTGAACTCCGATTTCCCATTCGCATCACATTTTTAGATTAGTAATGTAGTGTAATCTTGTATCTCTCATTATTATTTTTTTTATAGTTAAATTAAAAAATAAAGAACCTTCTTCTATTATATAAACAGTGAATTTTATAGGATCGTTTTGTTAAAATTTTTATACATTTTTTTAAAATTTAAGAAATTTTTAAGATGACACACTATTTTCAGAATCTCTACGAAATTATTTTCAATTTTCTTCTTGTTTTGGCTTTAACATGGACAAAAAATCCATATGCTAAAATCGAAATGTTTTTAGTACGAAAGCATCAGCTTGATGCTGACAGAATTCGTTCTCTCCAACAGAAAATCAAATCATTCCGAAAAATCATTTTTCCTATATCTATATTAGCTTATTTATTAATTGATAGATATAGATACACTATTGAAGAACTTTTTTCAAAAGGAAATTATATGAAGTTGTTCGCCAAGAAGAATTCAAAATTTATTGAAGGTTTGATTTCAAATGAACGACCCGAACAATTTCCTCTTGAACAAAAGGTACGATTAAATTTAAAAACTAATCCACACGAAAACGATAAACTTGTCGGCGATTATTTGGGACAAAATTATTCGAGGTAAATAATAAAAAATATATTATTGATCTTTATTGTACAGTAAATATTTAATTATTAAATTTTCTCTTAAATATTTTATCTCACCCTTGGAATAAATGAAAATAACATAGTCAACGTCTCCAAACAAGACCTATCGTTGTTTTCATGATTAGAGTACCACGAAATAATAATCGACAGAATCAATTCGAAAGGCGAAGATATACAAATCGAATACATCAAAGTAGCCAACAAATCAACAATGAAGCAACGTTAAAGCTAATTTCAAACCTTCCTCCACAACAAATTGAAAATAATCCATTTGCTAATCAATTCTTCAATGGATCTTCCTTTTAACCATTAATAATTATGCGAAATTTGTTAAATAAAAATAAGTTTTATATATTTAAATAAGTTTTATATATTTTAAAAAATCATTTATCTAAGCTACTTAAAAGAGTTACCTTAACATAATGTTACAAATATGTATGCTTTTCCATGTAATTAATTACAGTATATTAATAATGTATTATCAATTATCCTACTTACTTTTATTTTACTGTAAAAAAATAAATTTAATGTACTGTATTTTAAGGAATAATATATGTGATATATATTACATAAATAATTTATTATTAATTTATGACATGTTTCAAGAGGCGCGCCGAACAATAAACCAACTTACCTTATTATCACTTTGAGGAATATACGAGTTTGTTTGATTGTAAATATCGATGTTGAAATAATGGTAATTTATAGTATTGGTTTGATTGGTTTCATTCGGTTTTTATTTTACTTCGCGGATAAAAAAGTTTAGTAATATTTCTTTCATTCTTTGTTTCTTTAAATAAATAAATTAAATATATAAGAATAAAGACATTGCTCAAACTAGTTAAGAATCATGATTAAAAACGCGTCAGCATAATATTCTTTTTGAAAGAACAGTTAATTTAGACATTTTATGTTTCGTACATTCGGGACATTTTTCGCCCTTCTCATAAATTAAATTATTATAATGCCGGCTGAAATGATCGTCAAATTCACCATTAGAAGGACAATTTAGACTTTGTAAGAAACGTTTTATTGTCCGGAGCGAAGCGAAGGACAATATATGTCAACGCACTATGGAAAAAAAAATCGATCACGTGAATTTTCTGTCCGCCACGTGATCGTCACCCAATAAAATCGCAAATTTAGCTTTTCGCTCCGGACTTACAACGGTTCCCGTTTCCTAGTTTTTAATAACTAGTATGTAATGTGATATAATAGTTAGAATCTATGTATAAAGAAAAAAATTAAACGAATTTATTTGTGCACAAGTGGAATTACATAAAAAAATCTTCTGTCCATGCCTGCTATGCTAAGGTAAATTAAATTTGTTGTTTTCAGAATACAGTAAATTAGTTTCTGGTCAGAGTTCAATTTTTTTTGATCGAGCGAAACATTTTTAAAACAAGATATTGAAATGAGTAGGGTTTGTAAGGCTTAATATTTTGTGAGTAATTTCATTTGATTAGGGGGTGGGAAATTTTTGGACTGTCACACACGTGATTGAGAAATAAAGGATGCCGAGTATTACTAAAAAGGGACTATAATATATTTGTAAACAATCGGATTTTGACTTACTTGCATGATCAAATTAACTATGATATTTTTCCATTTACAGCTAAGTACATAATTACAAAATGATTCATTTTTGTTTATCCATTAAACTTTAAAAAAAACGTGTCTAGGCAATTTATGTAATGTGGCGTGCTTATTTATTTTTGTTATTACAATGCATCAAGAGCCCAAATTATCATCACGGGATTTACCTTACAAAATAAACATGTTGACTGTTATAAATTTTCTGCGATAAATTCAATTTTTATTATTGTATTGGTGACTGCTATCGTTTTATTCGAGAGTATAAAGAAATAAATAATATAATATATATGTACGTAAAAAATACATATTTCTACCCTATAAAAAATTTTTATCCGAATATTTCCATTATTTCTCCGTATCTTCCGTAAAAATTCCGTGAAAATGATACATTCACGGATATCCGTGTTAACGAGATGAAAATTTCCATGATTTGAGGTTATTAATTCCATGAAAATGATACATTCACGGAAAAAGCATGGAAAGATAAAACACGGATCTGATTTTTTACAGGGCTACGCATACAACGGTTCCCGTTTCCTAGTAATATTATGAAATATAGATAATGCTATTATACGAAGTTAGGATCTATCATCGAAGCCGAATTTGCGAGTTTGAATCTGTTGAAGCTGTAGAATTTGAATATCTGTATTAGTTATTGGCATATGAGGAAATAAGCAAGTGAACAGTTGAGCAAATGGTATAACATGTTGTGAGTAAAAACCGCAGTGGCAAATTGTTAATTAATATGATTATGAGAAATAGTAACGTTATTGTTTGAATGAACATGAACGGCTGAAAGTCAATAGTACGTGTACCGTTCATTACAGCGTCTTGGATAAAAATTATTAGTTATTTGCAATATTATTTTCCCCCTTAATTAAATACAGAAATCCTCAATTTTTTAATTTTAATTTTTTTTTTAAAACCAAATTTCAAATTTGCATCTAACCGTATTCAATACTAGCTTTATCATTTTTTCTTTAAGTTACGATTCTTCATTATAAAAAATCATGCAACTGTCAAATGCATGTTTAAACTGATCAGGTAATACTTGAATAGAGAAATGACGAAGCAACCGTTTCTTTATTTTTCTTACGTGTTCCTTTTCGTTGCGACCGCGTTTATTACTTGTACTTGTGGTTCGTTGGTTATCGCCATCTTTCAATATTTCATCGATAAATCACATGATTTAAAAAAAATAATCGTGAAGGAATTTGAAAGTCATGAATTTAGTTTACATTTAATAGGTAACTCAATATAAATCGTTAAAAAGTCAGAAATTTAATAATAAAGCTAGTACTAGTAAATTCTAATGCCATTAAATATGCATAAAAGTTATAAACATAAAAACATTTGGAATATATACCTGCTATTATTTCACGTAAAAATACTTCATTAATAATAATATAATGTTAAATTTTTATATCATATTATAAATTCTTCAATTTCGTCACTATCTACCGTAAAATAGGTAAAGTATTTACTCTTGAATACATTTCCATAAGATAAAATTTTTTTTCTTTAGTATTTTTTCGAAAAAGCGAGATATTATGTTATTCTTTAAGTTATTGAGTATTCTTTAAATTTTTAATATTTATTTAAATGCAAAAGTTATCGAATTTTAAAAACTTGGGGATTTTTCTAGTAAAAGACAAAGAAACTTCCCGAATTTGATATCATATTAATTGATGATCAATAAAAATCTTTATTAATAAAATTTTATATAAGACCATACATAGTTTTGATTTAATTAGTTGACGGCGCACCCCAGTATACTATATATATAAATAATCTTATACAAACTATTTAATTATAAAGATATTGAACACCAATTAAATTTAAGAAAACTCAAAAGTTTAAGTATTAATCGATCAAATTTTCTTTTATTTGATTAATGCATCTTTAAATGAATTATAGTATATTTGATTGACGTTAAGTTCATAAAATTTGCAGATATGATTAATTACTATAATTTTTGGCTTTTTGACAAAAAAAATTTAACCATACATGTTCATACCATACATATCGTACTATCGTACATACCATACAAAAATGCAGATGTATTTTAAATAGGGATACAAAGTACTGTGACGATCAGAATAAAATTGAGTTCAAATTCATATGATAATATGAAATTGCTTTATAAAATCAAATGAAGGGCGTATTTACATTTTATGCATAATACGAAGAGTTGCATATTTTAAACTCCGGACTCCGCTATATATCTGGCTTTTTATTTTGGTTCTTTTATTTTCATTCTAAGTTATTAAAAATTCCTCAAATAATTAAAGAGTAGTTGTAATTCCCCTGAAATAGGAAAAACTCTATAGATACCACCTGCCGAAAAAAGCTTAAAGAACATTTCAATAGAAAGTTCAGAATCTTTAAATAAATTCCGTCAGAAGCTTTAAGAATACAAGAGAAATTTAAAGACAACGACGAAAGCTTAAAGAAGTATAAGTTTTCAGTTGAAAAGTCAAAATTTCAAGGAAGAATCGGAATTTCGATAACGATAATTCTCCGCTTAAGGAAAATCAGCTACACCAAAAGGAGAGTAACCGAATTCAGCCATATAACTCAAAAAGGAAAAGGAGCTGCAATGGTTTTTTTTTCGCATAGTACATTCCCGATTTGTATTAAGATAAACTTTTGGGAATAATACTATCATAATCTGTTGTGCAATTCGATTGATATTTCAATCTCATTATAATAGTTGTTACTCAAGGATTGTCATCATTATGTCAACCAGGATTTTAAGATTCTTGCTGTGATTGGTTCTGGAGGAACCGCTTCGGTTCATGCTGCGTACTGGAAAGATGATGCAACAAAATTTGCAATTAAGAAAATTACCAAATCTGTTATGGAAGAAGAAATTATTATTAATGAGGTTTATTTTATAAACTTAATCATTTAAAAGATTATAAATTTCCAAATTTTTTATTATTTTTTTTTTATAGATTAATATAATGAAAAGAGTTGACTTCCATCCAAACATAATTAAATTTGTTGGCGTCATAATTGGTAAGTAATAAATACTTGTTGATAATAAATATTTGTATAATAATTTATTCAAGTATTTGTTTACATACTTTTTTATTTTTTTAGATGAAATAAATTATTCGCTTGTACTTGAGTATGCAGATGGCGGAACATTAGGAAAATATTTAGAAATTGCTGAAACACTTACGCCGGAAATTCAATTGAAATTTGCCAAAGAAATCGCAAGTGCAATCTACTGTTTACATAATTATGATATAATTCATCGAGATATTGTAAGTTTGAATTACCGTATTTTGCGGTAAGTAAGCACCCCCCCGAAAGTAAGCACCCCTGGCCAGAATTATGGCGATTTTGGCCAAAATTATGAGGATCTTGGCCGGCATCAAGTGCAAAAATGGGGTGCTTATATACCGCAAAATACGGTATTATATTATTTTATAATTTAATCTTTGTGACTAATTATTTATTAAAACAATCTTTTATATTTAGCATCCAAATAATATCCTGGTACACGGACATGTAATAAAATTAGCAGATTTTGGGCGTTCATGTATACAAGGATCAGATGTTGATACCGAAGTATTTGGTGTATTACCATATGTGGATCCTAAAATGCTTGATAAAAAAATTCCATACAATTTATCGAAAAAATCCGACATATATAGTATGGGAGTAACATTCTGGCAATTAACAAGTTGTTCGTCACCTTTCAATTTTGAAAAAAGAAAAGATCATGCTTCTATTTCGTTAGATATTCTTAATGACGTAAGAGAAGAACCTATTCCTAACACAAACGTTAAATTTATTGAACTTTATCAACGTAAGTATAAAATTATTATAAAATTTTATCTTATAACGAGATTAGCAATCCAAATTTAATTTATTTATTTAAATAGAATGTTGGCGATATGAACCGGATAAAAGACCAGATGTTAATCAAGTAATTTCAAAGCTTAATGAAATTGGTTCTGAAAACAATTTTAATTCTAAAAAAAATGAAAACGTAGAAATTAAAATAACGGAAGAATTAAAAAGTGAAGAGATTAAAGATGACTTTTCGGATTGTCACTTGTCAAATTATGATTAAATCATATTTATTTTTTTTTTTCTTTTATTTTTTTTTTGTAATTTTATATTTCTTTTAAATAAAATATTAGACAAATTTTGTTACTTTTTTTATTATACACAAAGATTGACAATTATATATCTCCAAAAAAATACTTTATTTAATATTTTATAAAAAATGTAAAACAAAATGTCGTTTTGTAATTATTTAAAAATGTGTTTTCTAAAGTGGTATTACAATGCAAGAAATAATTAATCGATGGTGTACTTATTTCTTGTAATTTGAGATGTCAAAGCTAAGTTTCCATAGTTCTATTCTAATTTATAACACGTTCGTTATTATTAGTATTGCGTTGATCAATAATTTTAAATGTCAGTGCTGTTAATTTGAAAATCGTGTAACAAAGTAGATTTTTTTCGAAAAAAAATATTTTGACATTTGTATTGGTTTTTGTAATACAGGAGTATATCATAAGTTTTCTGTTTTCTGGAGAATCACGTCTTAAACTAGATTTATTTAAATAAGTCACGTGCAGACGTTTTGCGCACGTGAAGACCCAGAGACTCAGAGAGTAAGCGAAAATGTCCTTTCGAAAATAAGTCTTCATTAATATTAGCTAATTACAAGCATAGATACTATGTGATCGTGTCCTTTGTATCCTTGTCATTATCGAAGAGATCAAAGTAAGTTCTTTTTATGAAAAAAATAAAAAAATGATTTTTTTTGAACTGCTTGTACTCATATTTATATTTTGATATGATTTTCAATGAAAGATTTCTTTGATCAAAAAATTAAATGCTTTGAATGACATTACACATAAATAGGTAAACAATATATAAATTTTTTCAAATGTTTAATGCCATTTTATATTTTATCACTTTAATAAAATTTGAAACATAAAGGAAGCCTTCAGAATTAATCCCGACTAACTACAAATCATTGGATTCACTTTTGGAATAGTGAAAGATTTTGAATAAATTTAAAGATTCCAAAATGAAAGCAACATGTAGTATACCAATATGAATATCATAGCATAAAATGAATTAACTTTGTACCATATATAATATATTTAATATATTTTTTTTATTTGCTTATATTATAATTATTACTTATATTAATGATTATCATATATCTTGCTCAAAAACGGAACATGCATATGTTTATCGCTCGGGACTTAAATACTGACACATGTTACATGTATGATGTGTGGTACTGTATTTATAATGGTTATATAACAAATAAAGTTTGTAATGTTTGTAAAAATAAATTGAATGGTAGTAACAATGCGTGTAACCACTAATAAGTACGCCACTGAATTAATTATTTACTAAAATTATATATATATATATTTTTGAAATTTGAAATTTTAATTTTTAATTAATTATTTGAAATTTTTTAACGGTCTTTCTTAAAAGATTTTTTTGAAAATTTTTAATAGTTCTTTATTTGAAATTTTCTTTTTTTGTTTGAAAAAGAAAAATTAAAAAGTTTTCTGAAAAAAAAATTTTTTTTTTTTTGAAATTTTTAATAGTGTAAAATTTTTAATTTTTAATATTTTTTCTTTTTATTTTTAATTTCCTTTAAAAAAAAGATTTATTTTTATTATCATTATTATTGAAAAATGTTAACGTTAAGAAGAATGATGCAAATAACTTTAAAAGCGCGAAATAAACGTGATACTAATGTCATAACTATTAATAGACAAATATACAATCTACAGTGTACAGAGAGATCATAAATATTTGTTATGTTATATTTGTTCTTGAAATAAGATTATCGTACTTTAGACAGCCAACCTCTAATACTGTACTTTATTTTAATAGGCTATTTTTTTTTTTTGTATTTGTTTTTCTCAAGGACCCGAAACTGAATGATGTGACTAGAATGGTAGGGCCCCCGAAATATGCATAAAAAAATCATTGCCATGTTTTATGGATAATGCCGGTCAAATTTTTGCTACCTTTTTTAGATACTGGCTGACATTATCTTAATTCTGGCCCTGAAGAAATACGTCTCGATGACTATATATATTTCAGGGTCCTTGTGGCTAAAAGAAAGAATTCAATAATTTTCGGGGGATATCTATAATGTACAATCAAAATCTCATTCAAAAACTAGAAAAAGGAAGATTAAAAACAGATTGAATTTGTCATTCATCCGGATTAATTTCAATCCGGATCTAATCTCTCTTTAACTTTTACATATTTTTGAAAGTGAATTTTTTTTATACACATGTATGTGCAGTATATTGAGATGATCTGAAAGAAAAAATAAATTTTATTTATTGATTTAATACGTTAAATGGATTCAATGGATAATAACACTATTATAGAAATAAAGTTATGTGATTTCGATATTTTTATAAAAAGCAAGGGAGATATTCTCAATGAAATTCTAACAACAGTACTATGAGTAATAATAATAATTTCAAACAAACGACTGTTGCCCAAGCAGCTGTGATGAATGACGATACAAGCACTTCAGTAACATATAACAATAACAATGATAACGTTATGATGTTTGATCAGCAATTTATCGCTTCGAACGATAGTAACATTATTATTTCTCCTGACTCTAATTATCAGCAATATGACGTTTTATACAGCAACACCATTATTTCTCCTCATAAATATCAGAAATCCACGCCCGATAGCATTTCTATCGTTAACGATAGTACCATTTCAAATCATCAGCAATATAACACTTCAAATAATATTACTCAACATGATAGTAACTATCAGCAATATACATCTCCTGATTATATTGATAATAATCATCAGCATTTTGTCGCTTTAAATAGTATTTCTCAAGATAACTATCAGCAATATACACCTCCTGATCATATTGATCATAACCATCAGCAGTATACATCCTCTGATCATATTGATCATAACCATCAGCATTTTTTCGCTTCAAATAATATTTCTCCACATAAATATCAGCAGTATACATCTTCTGATCATATTGGTCATAATCATCAGCATTTTGTCGCTTCAAATAATATTTCTCCACATAACTATCAGCAGTATACGTCTTCTGATCTTACTGATAATAACCATCAGCAATCTGTCGCTTCAAATAATACTTTTCCACATAACTATCAGCAATATACATCCTCTAATCATATTGATCATAACCATCAGCATTTTGTCGCTTCAAATAATACTTCTCCACATAACTATCAGCAATGTACATCCTCTAATCATATTGATCGGCAATATACATCTCCTGATCATACTGATAATAACCGTCAGCAATTTGTCAATTTAAATGATATTTCTCCACATAACTATCAGCAATATACATCCTCTAATCATATTGATCATAACCATCAGCATTTTGTCGCTTCAAATAATATTACTCAAAATAACTATCAGCAATATACATCTCCTGATCATACTGATCAGCAATTTGTCACTTCAAATAATAATATTTCAAATAATAATATTTTCCACCAAAACCATCAGCAATCCACATCCAATAAAGTTTCATCATCACAATTCTGCAAAAGTCAAAATTCACCATCTCAGTCTAATATCAATCCTCTGCTCAATTCACTTGGCATTAATGTAAATTCTCCACAAACAAATATTTTTATTATTGTATCTACAAGTAATTAAGTATTTCAGATATTCAAAATCAACTACAGCAAGTTCATCCCTGTAAAAAAAGTCAATCCGTTTTTTTATTCCATCTTTTTTCCGTAAAAGGCTCATATTTCCGGAATTAATAACTTTATATCAAGGAATTTATCGAATTATTTGCATTTTCCGTGAATGGATCCGTGAAAGGCTCATTTTCATGGAGTTTTTACAAAAATAACGGATAAAATTTTTTATAGGGCATTCAGCAAAGTTCATACTTATCTTCCTTGACGCCATTTACAATATATCTTTAAATTAATTAATGACAAAGAATATTTATTCTTTATTATTTCATTCATATTTTATTTTTATTTTTATCTTCTTCATATTCTCGCATAATAGTCACTGGTCGAAGTGGTATGGTTGTACGTGATTGATACTTGTCCAATTTGCATAATATTTCCATAACATTTCCACAAAAACTGGAAACTCCATTTACACCATCATGCATATCTCTTCGACCTGTGAGTAGATAGTACTAGTGCTGATTCTAAATAAAATGTTATCTTAATCTTTTAACAATTATAAAAAGAACGCCACTATACAATTTTAAAATCATCTTTATTAAATTAGTTCGATAACAAGAATTAACACTTAATTCTTTAGGTCTAATTAGAAACTAAACTGGTTGTCATATTTTTCAGTAACAGTCCAATTGTATGAATAAAGATTTAGATTCCGTTTACAACTACCATATGGTTGGTAAAGAATTACGTCTTAAACAGCAATATTTCTGGGTAGTCGCTAGCCTTTTCGATATGTGAACTTATTAATTAAATTTAGATTTTTTTCTTAAATTAAAGATAATTTTATATAAATGATGATGCAAAGTACGCTATCTTGCATAGACTGCTTTCAATGTGTTACAAAAATCTTGAACTATTTCAATATTTTGAAATTTGAATGGATAAACAAAAAGATCTTTTTTTTTTGGCCATAAACGGAAAAATATCATAGTACAAAGTATGCTGAACATACGCCGTGAAAATCCCAACTATAAAAAAAAAGTTATTCTTAAATACTATATAATTTATTTTGTTATTTCTTTAAATTTAACATTATTCATAATTGGATTAGATTTTTTTCTATTAAATATATGGTCCTGAATTATCGTTGAATGGTTGGTTACTTTTTATTATGAACGAGATGTTATTATTTCTTATAAAAATTTTGAGCAAGTTTGGTTAACATTCTTGGATCGTATTGAAGGAAAAAAACAAAAGCCAAGTAAATATTGAAAATTTGAAAAAGTGACCTCTACATAAGTAGTCAGTAACATATTAAAAAAACTGCTGCCGTTTCGGAAATTATTGAAAGCCATTTGATTTTTGGAGTTTGTTTACTAAACAAAATCATTTTCATAAATGTATGAAAATGGTTCAAAATTGTGATTGTGTGACTGCACCGCAAAAAAAAAAATTTCTAGTATTACGGATATACGGGAATACAAATTTGAAATCCATGATTAACATTTGCAAATGAAAATCGGCCAAGTAAGAGACATTAATGAAAAAAATTACAAAAGTCGAAAAAAGATTTACAAAAAACAAAGTGCTTTATTAATGCACAATTTGATCACGTATCGGAGTTTTGGAATGAAAACTAGAAAAATGATCATTTATCGGAATTTTTTACCCAGAAAATTTTTATAGGGGCTCATTTAATTCAATATCACTGTGACCTTAAATTTTAACAAATTATGTCAAATGAATTCTGATTGAAAATCTTATTTAATTAAAAACTGCGTCGGCAAAACGGAAATTCATTTAATATTTTTATTAATATCAAATACAATTAATAATCATATTGTCTATATATATTATATATTATATTTGAGAATTTATCTATAATAAGTAATTTTAATTTAGACGACATACAACTGAAGTTATTATTCAAACAACGAATACTCTCAGCTTATAATAAACCAAAAAAAAAAAAATTAAAAATTTCGGAAAAATGTTAAAACATTCTAAACAATAAAGTCGTGCAACATTATATTATGTGATAAGATTGAGATCATCACAGTTATGCAGATTCGATTGGTTATTATCTTGCACGATAATCAAACAATCAAAATTCTTGATTCGTGAATAAATAAATTGTTTGAAAACCCGACTCCATATCAAGTAAGAGCAAAGTTTAAATATTTATCAAAAACAGATCAGTAAAAATTGGCGTACAAATAAAAAATATCAAATAATGATGGTTTCACGATTGCCCAGCTATTAAAAAGTTACGTTGAACAAAAAGCTATCGGCTGAGAAAATATTATAATTATTAAATAAAAAAATTAAATTGTATATAATAAAAGATTTTTGTTTTATCACGGCGGTCATGTTATAGGACGTGTAAAATCTCGGTAGGGATTTCTGAAAATACTTTTTTTTTTGATTTTATTAGTACTTTTAGCGACATTTTACTAACGTTTCGTGTTTTTGCATTGTAGTTTACTGAAAATTCTTACAAAAGGAAAGAAGGAAATTTCTTATCTGATCTCAAAAATAACTGTTTTAATATGCGCATATTATAAAACATTGAAATGTAATCAATTTCAAATATACTGTACTTTGTTTTAGTCAACGTGGGTGGAACTATAAAAAAAGAAAATATATTAGTCTATGATAGGAACCAGGCACATATGCTGGCCTCCTCCAGGAAAGCCAGTTTTTCCTTAATGTCATCTTCAAGTTCCTCCGTTACTAATCTTACTATTCAACTATTTCTTGCGTTAATTTTCGTTAATTTTTTTTATTTTTGTTATTTTGTAGCATGTTATTTTTTTTATTTCTTATTTTCATTGGTTTTTCTCTTATTTTCTATTCTATTTATGGATATTCTGCAGCACGCCTATAGGTATACTGTATTGATTTTCATACAACATCGGAGATATATATCATACTTAATATCGTTTAACCGCTTCGTAATTGAGCGTAATTATTGATGGCAACACGAAGTCATTAATTGGAATTACATATTTTGTTATCACCCTTCCAGTACACTAAAAAGATGAAACGTTTTTGAAGTAGATTTGATTTATTTTGTTATACAACCATTATAAATAGTCAAACGTAACATATAAAAAGGGTTTCAAAAAATAATGTTTACATTTTGACATCTGCCTTTACAGAAACCTTCAATTTTTCTAAATATGTTTACAATATCTTTACAATATAACAGACACATCACTTTAGTATTTCTGTTATTTTCGTTCTAACTATATGCTTACAATATGTAGAAAATATTACATGAAAAATCTGACAATCATATATCAAAAATATGTTTCGGATTTATATATTATATGACAATCACATATCAAGCATATATTAGAAATATAATTAGAAATTCATATGACAACCATATATCAAACATGTATTAAAAGTATAATTAGTATATTATTTTTATATGATACCCATATATTAAAAATTCATGATTACTCTTTTTATAACTATTATATATCTAATATATGTAAATAATATTGCAAAATTATGTAAATTATATAATAATTACATGCCGAAATATAATAACAGTGATTAATAGTAATATGCCATAAAGTTATGTATCGTCAAAAATTTATTAGTCTTACGTGTTCAAATACTCAAAAAACTGGTCATCTAAAAAAAATAGTATATGAAATGTTAGTGGTCATTTCATTCAAAAGAATTAGTTCAAAATAAAAGTAAAAAACTTACCGGATCTTCCACTTTCCCAAGCACTTAAAAAACCAGCTATCTACAAAAAAAATATGTAACATTAGTAGCTGTTTCGTTCAATAAAAACTATTAAAAATTTTACTAGCGTCTAGACTCCAGAGACTGAAAGATACGCCTAAAAAAAGAATTAAGAAATGGACTGTAAGTAAAATTGTTAAAAATAAAAAAAAGTTAATATTCTAAAACTTTACCTATTAAGATAATAATAAAAATTAAAACAAAAATTAAAATTCTACGCGTCCTGAAAGTATCATCTAAAAAAAAGAATGTTCCTACCAAATTCCACACGTCCAAAGAGCCAATGAGCTAACCGCCTAAAAAAAAAGAAAAAAATAGAAATTAATAACCATCCTTTAAAAGGCGGAATAATGAAATTTAAAAATATCTTATCAAAATCCCATGCCTTGATTTTGTATTGAAGTTGTGGTTAATTTGGACGTACAGTGCTTGGATATGTTGCTCAAAAAAAAAAAAAAAACAAAAAT